CGAATTTTGACCGAAACGAAATTTAATGCTGTACCGTTTCGGCCAAAGGTCAAATCCGGTACGTACCGACCGTACCGGCCGGTACGATACGAGATTGACTTCTTTGGTTGCAATTGTGATTTTCTAATGTCTTTTGCATACAGTATCTCATTAAAATTGTTAATTTATTATAATTAAATTAATTTAAATTGATATATTTTATATAATTTAGTAATCATATTAATATATAAACTCTTTTCAAGATAATTATCAAATAATAGCATAATTTATATTATAATAGTATATTCAAAAAGCCAAATTCACAACTTACAACAATGCCAAGCAGAGCTTAAAGTTGCCATTCAAAAATGTGAATTTTTATCTAGATTTTTTTTAAAAAAAATTGTACATACTTGAGTCATGATATATGTACTATATATACTTATATATTGTCTTGTACAATACTCTACATAATAAAAAAAATTATTCTCTAGTCATTAAAAAATAGAACTAATTTAATCAATTAGATGACTATAAAAATCATTCTTTTCGAAAAGGGAAATAATTAGTACACCTCCTTTGATTCAATGTACCTATTAACCCTCATTAATTTAGTCATTTAATTTTCTACTGTTGAAATTTTTCCCGCTTGTAATTCAAATTTAAAAATAATAATTTCTTAATAAATGTGTTGTGGAGTGTGGTATAGAATGTGTTGAGTCGAAGAATATATTAATAATTATCCTTTCAAAAATGCTATAGTTATAATATCATATGATATTGTAAACTTACAACATAATATGTCATTATATAATTCACTCATTTTATTTAGGGGTCCACTAGTAATATTGTTTGCATTCACTCATTTAATGTCATGTTACATTCATTTAATGTTACATTATGGTTGTAAGTTTACAATCTTATATGCTATTATATCTATAGTATTGCCCTTTTTTAATCAATTAAAAGACTCTAAGATTTAGTTTGGCTCAAGTAGAGTTTGATTAGTTTTACATATTTTTATACAAAATTAAGGTTTCATTTGACGAAACCTTTCACAAACCT